CCGCTGCAGAACGCACGCGAGAGAGAGACGAGGCAGCGCAGATCGCGCGTCTTATAAGTGAGTGGGAATTTACCGAACATGGCACTTGCGGGAGTTAACACAGTATGCAATACCCGCAACCTCACACCAAATTTCAGGCTATGTAGATAGGCAAGCATATATACAAATCATTTAGTAAGCAGAAATCCGAAATTTACCTTAACATATCAATTAGTCTAAATAACAAATATTTTATCGGTAGTAGTTTATGTTTATGCTGGGATGTTGTGGAGCTTAGGAGATGTTACAGAACCATTTCATGTAAATTTCTTCAATGTACTTAAAACAATCTATATAGATTACTTTTATGCGGGCTTTTGCGGGCGGGAGCGGGACAAAACATGAATGTCGCGGGACCAGATAAGATATATTTTTGCGGGAGCGGGCGGGCGCGGGACAGAATCTTGTGGGAACGGGCGGGAGCGGGACTGAAAAATCCGTCCCGCTCAGGTCTCTACATCCTGTCACCTATATAAAGACACATATTTGTTAAAGTAGCGATATAAAGACATAGAATCCACAGCACTAACCAGTTAGGCTGCATATTTACAATTCTCTCGTTTTCCAGGACGATGGAGCTGAAAAATCGCCCACAAAGAAGAAACAGAAAAAGGATAACAAAGAGAACAAAGAAAAAACAGGAACTCCTAAAAAAGAGAAGGAGGGGGACAAAGACAAAAAGCGTTCCAAGTCCAAAAAAGAGAAGGTATTTTATATGGCATCAGAGTCTGCAGTATTATGTTTCAGCATGAGAACATTTCCTTTAGAAACTTGGACTTAAGTATTATGTTTCACTGTCATCCTGTGCACAATATGGTTGTTAGTTTCTTAGATCAACGGGTTGACTCAAACTCATGATTTAGACCTAAATTATATTGCTGTTATAATTAAATTCTCTGTATTATAAATATTAAAAGTATTAGTTTGTCTGTTTTTGAGAATTAGATTACTTTTTTAAATCCAAGCTGGATTAGACTAAATCTGTACATAATAAAGTTATATCATGTGTCAGTGTGCTTCTCAACTTCTCACATTTTCAGGCCAAACCAGGAGGAAAAGGGAAGAAAGCTCAAGGCCCTGTGCACATCACTGCAGGAAGTGAGCCTGTACCAATTGGAGAGGAAGATGATGAGCTGGACCAGGAAACATTCAGCATTGTGAGTGTTAAAATTGTAATTTCTTCATTTCAATCTTCCCTTTACTAGGCGTGATGTATAATTGTAATGTACACAGAAGTATGTTGATAATGTGTAATGTGTATGCAGTCTAAGGAGCGGATGAGGCCGGTGAAGAAGGCTCTGAAGCAGTTGGATAAGCCAGACGAGGGGCTGTCAGTGCAGGAGCAGCTGCAGCACACTCGTACCTGCCTGCTAAAGATCGGAGACCGCATCACAGAGTGCCTTAAATCGTACAGTGACCCAGAGCACGTCAAGACCTGGCGCAGGTATCTCAACTACACATTACACATCCGATTTCAAGAGTTCCCATTATATTTGGACAGTATATTCAACCCCGCTTTTTTCATTTGTCAGAAACCTCTGGATTTTTGTTTCTAAATTTACTGAGTTTGGTGCCCGGAAACTGCACAAGCTGTATAAGATGGCTCAAAAGAAGCGCTCCCAGGAAGAAGAGGTAAGCATATCTTAAATTCACAGTTCTCAGTGACATTGTTCTCCTCATGTACCACTTACTCACTTGCTCCTCTTACAGAAAGAGCAAAAGAAGAAAGATGATCCTGCCAAGAAAAAACCCTTCAGACCAGAACCTTCTGGATCTAGTCGGGACTCTACAGGTACCCATCCTGCAGTCAACCATCTGCCTGGACCTCCCACTCACGCCCACCACAGAGAGTACAACCACCCCAATAAAAGGCACTTTCCTAATGACGGTGAGAGCTGAAACAATCCATCAAGTGTCACCGTTTTGGGGTCCAAACGCTCTATCAGATCAGAAAAACAAACACAGCTTATTGCACTCACATTGTGCTGTAGTACTATTTAACTAGGACCCTATAATTTCCGTGATGTGGAAAACGCAGACGGAATTGTGGAATCAAGTCATAAAAATGGAATTTACTGTATAACACAAAATGTCACGGAATTTGCCAAATTTTGGATGGATAAATCAAAAGTAGGTCAGTACAGTTAAATCAAAACACGATATGGACTAGTGTCTGTGAATATTAAGCCACAAAAAAACTATTTAAATGTGAATCCTGCATGTTCTGCGTGTCTCTGTGAATAAACAACGCAGACGCCTGGTTTCGTTTACTACACATACTAAAGTGCATGACGCTCAGTGTTTTCAGCCTCTGCTGCCTCAATATATGAGTACATGAACACATGCTCTGAGAGCCACTTCATGAGGATTTTACCATTTCTTTTGAGGAAAAACTATAGTCATATCATATACAATCAGAAACTTGAAGGTCTTCATAGCAACCCGTCAAAATAAAAGTTATATATATATATAAAATCAATTAATTGGAGATGCTTTTGATTATTACAATTTAATCAAAACAAAATAGAATCCAGAAAAATAATGGTATAAAACAGTATTTGGTAAAAATAAAATAAAAATAGAACTGAATTTGAGAAAAAATAGAACTGAATTTGAGAAAAAATAGAACTGAATTTGAGAAAAAATAGAACTGAATTTGAGAAAAAATAAAACATTTCATAGGGCCTTAAATATGTAATTTTTGTTAAACTAATAATAAATTGTGTAGGTTTCATGAATTCAATTAATTAGACATGCTTTTTGAATAATAACATTTTAATTTAAAGGCACAATATGGAATTTTTCGCTGCTAGAGGGCGCATATTCAAAACAAACAAAGAATCAAAGGCGTAGTTTGATGGCGCCGTGACTGAGTGTGGAATCAAGGGAGTTGTCGTCTTCATCCCCACAGCCGATGCAATCCGATGGGACTCGAGCAGAAATCATGTTCATGGATGAGCTAATAATTTATTAACATAGTAGAATGAAGCAGGGTGAGGCTGAAAGCCTTCAAAGCGAAACGAGGCCGCTGAACGAGCGTGACACACAGCTCGAAAGCAGCGGAGCTTTTATTATGCCACAGTCGACCGCTACCGCTCCTTCTGGTCGTGCGTATGTGGGGAAAAAAGCAGCGCTGTTTTATCAGACTAGATACATTTGAAAGTTCTGTTATAAAGCTACTCTGTGCGGTCGTCACCGGTCTATTAAAACGCACAACATATTAAAGCGTCTTTGGTGTTTCCATGTTTTCTACAAAACAAAACCAGAAATTGAGGGGTTATGATGTCATTGGCAGGCGACACAATGACACTATGGACACGGTCCGTGTCACTAGTTAAAATTGCTTATTTCTCTGGATTTAAACATTCTTCGAAACATTTGGGATAATGTAAATACACAAGTAAAATATAACATACACAGCAAAATATATAACACTGTTCTAGTGGTTTTTGGATATTTTAATAAAAAAATCTTACATATTATGCCTTTAACCATTAAAAGTCTAGAAAAATTTAAACTGAAAAATAAAACGAATTAAAAAATTTTTTTTACTGATTTCATTGGGCCCTACTAAACGAATAGTGCTCATAAATGACTTCTGAGAAAGTATTCTCACTTAAAATGGAGTAGAGGCTTGGACCCAGAAACCGTATAGCTACATCACACAATCATATCACAGTTTGATTATCTACTATAATTCTGGTTTTGATGTCAGATATTTTTTGTACAACCATAAATGATGTCATTTACAATTTCAGTTGTCATTTTTAATGTTCAACCATCTCATTTGGTACCTTGTGCATCTTTTAACTAGATAGGGGAGACTGGCAAAGGGACCGTAAGTACAGCTACCCAGGTAACAGCAATCAGCCCTGGCAAGGGGATCGGTATCACCCGTATGACTCTCACAGGTACAAGGACCATCATTACGGTGACCGCCGTCCTCATGGTGACTACCGCAGCTCAGGAGGTTACCGTAACGGCGGCTCCCCTCGCAAACGACCCTATGATTATGGTAATGATAGAGATCATCGTGGCCATCGAGACTATTATGACAGGTGAGCAAGAGTGGCTTTTTATTAAATCTGTTAACGTTTACAACCCATCCTCATGCCCAAAACTGTGTAGAGCTGTAGGACTAAAATTTAGCTTTTTGTTTTCAGACATCCAGACCCTAAGAGAATGCGTTCCGATGAATACCGCTCCCCGAACTATCACCCGGGTGGAGGAGGGCATCCACAGGACTTCAGAAGGATGCCGGACCACAGGGGACCCCCTGGAAACCATGGTCCCATGGGGCCCGATCACTACCGCCCCTTCCACCCTGACAAACCCCCACCCCTGATTGACCCCCGTTCCCCTCAGTCTCAGAAATCCCCCCTTGAGCCCATCTCACTTGCTATGGAAAGAACTGCAGAGCAGAAACCTGTGACAGACTTTAATTGGAACAACAGGAAGACGTGAGGTGAATACTTGGTTAGTGCAGAGACGGTCTGTACTGCCAAAGAACGTGGCAGAAAAGCCACCTAGGCAATAAATGGAGCCTCCACCAAACTCCTCTTTATCGCCACTGTGTCCTCCGCTCTCTTCTAGGATTCACAACCAGGTTAAGTCTGCCATTTTGGACTGAGGAGACAGAACAAAGCGTGGTTAGTCCTATGGACTATGATTGAACTTGATAAAGTGTTCAAGTATGCCTAAGTTAGAAAGTGCCTCATGTATTTAGTTTTTGTTGAGAGTCATTAGCAGAAAGGGACTGTCCCCAAAGCAAACTTTTGTTTGATGTTCATGTCTTTTTGTTTCGTGTTATTTTGGTTTGTGCAAAAAAGGATTATTTCATGAAAGTAGTCTTTGTGGGAGGAGAAAAAAGGAATCCTTTTAATTGCATGATGGTGATTCATATTTTTGTTGAGCTATTCGAAACTGTCGCTTTTGCTTTCTGAAATGCCCAGACCCCTGTGATCGTACATCATTTTGAGGAAAGAAAATCAAGTAATTACATGTACATTTTTGTCTTTTGTCTTATGTGATGAGCAACAACCGCAAAATTACTGGAATTGTTTTTCTTGAATTATCGAATCTGCGTCTTCGCTATAATGCAGACCTGCCACTTGTTAATATTGCCCTGTTGGAGGACAGTAGCCTTGTTTAAAAAAACAAAGAAGAAAAAACAGTATTCAGGGTCCATGTAGACCTGGTCAGAACACTAGATAATCATAACAGATAAGCTATCTTTGTTTTTATTTTCTTAAATCTGTAACACTTGCCACCACAGTGCTTGTACTGTTGCATCTTTTTATTGCACTAAAAGGACAGTAGTTGCTCGATTTTGAGTATGTAGTAATGGTAGACATTATCCGAATCTGATTTTCATGTTTCTTTGAGTTGTTTTCTTAGTATGAGTGTGCTGAAACGCTGATACCGTTGACCTTTAAGTGGAAATGTGAGTACTGTATAAATGGACAGATGCTTGTTTCAGGAGTGGGCGGGTGTCACAAGCTATTTTTGGTGAACCAGATTTTGTGCCAAAACGTTGACAGACTGGCATGCTGGTAGATACTGTTCATTGATTGATTGTTTATTTGATGTGTTTTTCCATCTGTGCCTTATTCTTGTGTAGATTCAAACACCGGGTTGGTATAAGGATGTTAAGCGATCGGAAATGATGCAGTATTATGCTGTTGTGTACAATTTCAAAACATTTGCCAGGATGGAATTTTAACTGGGTGCATGTAAAGCCAGCTCTGGTCAGTGGGGAACAATGTGGTGTGCTCAATTCCAAAATATCATGGTGGCAGGACTAGGAGAGCGGTGAGCTGGTGAAATGTGGACATGTCTGTAATGGAATACTGAAGATGTGTTACTTCTTTCACACCCAAGCTCCTGCTCACACTCCACGGACATGTGTTAAGCTTTGAAACAAGCCAATTTAAAGTAATTTATATTTGTGAAAAGCTACTGTTCAGATTAATTGTACTGTACATATGTTTATAGATCTATGTGTATTAAACTTTCCTACATCATGGACAATCTGTTTTTGTTCTTCAGTGATAAAACTAATTGCGGTTTTTATAGTTTTATGCAACATATGTCAACTGCAGTCTTCATGCAGTTTCAACTAGTTGACCAACTTGGGATTTATTTCATTTATTTCCATTATTTTAATGTGATATTTAGGAAAAATCCCCTAAATTATAACATTTAAGGGGGAAAAACGTTTAATTGTTAAATTGTTTGCGCGCGCGCCTGACTTCATCACATGCACTGGGAATCTGAGAGGAATGGCGCGAATGGCTAAGGTGAGACACTCTTCCTTAACTCCATATTGTATATTTTATGCTGTTTTCAACAGGCTTTAACATTAATAACAGATTTAAGTGATTAAAGGGATAAGGGAATAATACACTCCTGAACAAAATCTTCAGACCAGGGGAACATTACAAGTATTTGCATTTTGCACTGGTGGGTCGTAACCAGGTTGTAAGTACTGCTTCAAAATGCCAAAAGAAGAAACAGGAGCAAGAGACAAAAAATAGAGAATAGGCAATTTATTGAAAACTGCATTTAAACTCCAACAGGCTGTTCATCAGCTGATCAAAAGTAAAAGCCTTAAAAAGTTAAAATCTGCAAAAATATGGCTTTCATGTCATTGTCCTTCAGGCAGTCACACTGTCATGATCTCCTGATGGCAAAGGCAAAAGGGCTTTCTGTCAGTCTTTGAACGTGGCAGGATTGTTGAGCCGCACAAGCAATGGCGCGGGCAACGTGCCATCGCTGCCGAGATTGGACGCAGTAAGACGGTTATGGGACAAAAAAGTCAAGTGGTAGACCTAAAAAAAAAATCACCAACACTGCGGTTGTCTAGTGATGTGACATTTTGAACCGAGGCTTCGGAGCTTGTGTGTCGAAAATAAAGGGGCGTGTCAGAGGAAGCCTCGATTCGAAGCTTGTGTTGTTGACAGAAATCACGTGACCAATGACAAACGAAGCTTCGCTTTCTGTCCAGTCACGTGCGCGATTCACTTTGCGTGTCGGAATGTTCGAATCCCCAGATCTTACTTTACGAGTAAGTTTTAATTCGGACTTATTCAGTTACATTTTAGATACCCATACAAGTAATATGAAGAATACAAATTATTTCAGAAAAATTGTATATTTGTCGCAATTAATATGTGTACATTCTATTACATCATATTGATATTCTTACTGGTATTAAATTGCAGTTTAATGGGTAAATGAATTTATCAGAGACAGAAATTCAACAAACACAAACACGCACTGGCTTTTATTTGTGCACGTAACTTGAATCGAGCGTCTTTCACAGGCTTTTGGCTGCTATATTTTTTATTAACCACCAGATGGCGCTGTTTCGAGACACTCGAAGCTTTGAATCTTTTCCCGAAACAGACAGAGGAAAGCCTCAGTGCTTCACGAGGCTTCATTTGCCCATCACTAGGGCTGTCCGTGAAGACACAGGCCGATCCTCGACTCAAATTAAGGCCCTTACTGATGCTAACTGCAGCCATAACGGCATCTTCTTCTTCATCTTCTTGTAACGTTTATTGGCGGTGGGCAAGCCAACTTTTGGTGCATTACCGCCACCAACTGAACTGGAGTGTGGAGTGACAATGAGAAGGATAAAAAAAAAAAAAATCTTATGTTCTCATGAAGTTTCCCGTGTCTCTTAGATAACTCATTCTTCTGAATTCTCTATTACCTAATATTAGTTCTAATGTCATATTATTTGCACCTTCTGTCTTTGTCTTTTAGTACGGCCCGCTGGATCATATTAGACTTGGATGATCATTTTTAAAATATTTGAAAAGTAAGTCACGTAAAGATTGCTTTCAGTTTATGATGTTATACTATCAACCAGGTGAGGTCGCTAGTTTCCAGCCGCTCCCCGTATTAATTTCAGCGTAGTAGGACGTGCACTCTAATGTAAACATTCACTAACATTAGCAAATAATAAATGAAAACTGACCATGAAAACGATATAATTCGATAATATTTTTCAGTCAAGATGGTAAACGGAATATCTTTTTAACAAGTTCAAGGGAATACCTGGATTGTTTGGAAATCTTAAATTGCCATCACACCACTGCTCACAAACAACGGGGACGCCAGAGTTGCCCTTGCCTCAGATTTCAAAGGTAAAGTGCATAGTAAACAAAACCTTTTTGCCAAATTTATGACAGAAATGTTTGCATTAAACTATGTTCTTAGGGTTTCTGCGGGTCCTTAAAACGTCTTCAGTTTAATTGTTTAAATTTAAGGCCATGAAATTTCTTAAATGGTATAACAAGTCTTAAGTATAAGAGGTCTTAAATTTGGGGACGGAAAGACAAGAATTGCTATATAGATTAATATGAAGATTAAACTGATTTCACTGAATAAACTTGAGCACTGCACGTTTCAAAGTCAGGCGCTGCTGCTTTGTGTACTGCGGTTATACCGCTATTCTTCCGCTAGGAAAGTGAAACCTGCTGGCAGGGAACGAATTTGCTTTTTCAATAAGCCAGTATGCTATTTTTGCTACATATTTTTAAATGTAAACCAGTGGATCGACAAAAAGCTAATGCATTATAAAAATCTAAACAATTAAGATACTAAGATATATTTATGTTATTTAATATAATAATTGATTGATAATAATTGTTTAAATTAATATTCAATTCAATTCAAGTTTATGTGTATAGCGCTTTTCACGATACAAATCGTTGCAAAGCAACTTTACAGCGAATTAAGTTTCTACAATATTTAGTGGTAGTTTATCAGTGGTGACTGTCAGTTAATGTACATATGGCAGAAATTTATGGAAAAATCAATTAAAGACGTAATCAAACAGACGATGAACACTATTAACAGCAATTATTATATGATGCAATCAAACTTATAGCAAAATTAGGTAGTTCTGTATGTTGTTTCGGGGTTGGCATCATGAGGTCCTCTGAGGGGTTGGCATCATCTCTTCTCAGGACATAATTAGCATAGCTGCTGTTCCAACCAAGCAAAATTGATTTGTTTAACCCAAGCTAAAGAATAATAATGTGCATTTGATCAGATATAACTGCAGTACAAGATTATAAGATGCATTATTTGAATGATTGGCCAAAGAGATCCAAGATTTAATAACAGCTTGCTTAATAATTGCCTTTGCTTCTGGTTTACTGATTTTTACATCAATTTCTACATTAGTTTTATTCAATGATCTTTTAGCATGTTTATCTGCCATCTCGTTTCCATCTATTCCAACATGTGCTGGGACCCATAAAAAAGAAACATCCCTGTCCTGAGCAATATAATAATTGATCATTTTTGACTCATCCCTTTTCTTACAAATTGTTTAAAGGCTGAAATGTGAAGTGCAGGTCTTAAAAAGGTCTTTAAAAGTCTTAAATTTGATTTATTTTAAAAATCCTGCAGATGCCCAGTTATTTTATGGTACAATTTGAAATTACTATTTTTTTTTTGAACAAGCCCTTTTTAACTGTCCTCTTAGGTTGTTTTGAGAATGTTCTGTAGGCCACTAATAAAAAATAGGACCTAGTCTGTACATTTGTTTGTTGCAAATATACAGACAATGCAATTGAGATGTTTACATTGGCTTGTTGGGGTAATATTGCTGTCAACTGACAACAAAGTTTCCCTTCTGAATTAGCATAACTGCACAAGTTTTATAATGAATAAAATCTTTAAAAACAAATTACGTTAATTATACTTTAATTTCCTTTAATAAAAAGGAAATTGAGTAAGACTGTGTGAAAGGTGTGTGGACGTGGTTTAGTAATCTGGCCCTTCGGTATAAAGGAGAAAAAATGCTGGCCCTCGTCACTATCAAAGTTGCCCATCCCTGCTCTACACTGTAATAAAATATGCTCAACTGTTTCAATTTCGCCACAAGATCTACATAATCCACAAGGATGCTTCCTGATTTTATGCAAGTTTCCATTTAAAGATGAATGTCCTAATCTTAATCTTGCTATTATTACTTCTTCTCTTCTTTTAAAGTCACTTCCAGTCTCATTATTTTGTAATCCTACTTTCTTTTGAATTTTATACAGATGTCTACCTGTCTTCTCCGTATCCCATTTATGTTGCCAAGATTTAATAACAGCTTGCTTAATAATTGCCATTGCTTCTGCTTTACTGATTTTTACATGAATTTCTACATTATTTTTATTCAACGATCTTTTAGCATGTTTATCTGCCATCTCGTTTCCATCTATTCCAACATGTGCTGGGACCCATAAAAATGAAACAACCCTGTCCTGAGCATGAAGTCTATATCATAAGACGGCATCTGCGAGAGAAGGGCTTAAAGAACAAAAACCGTCTTCAAAGGCCACGTCTCCTCCCACGCCACAAACTTGCCTGTTTGGAATTTGCAAGGGAGCACCAAACATGGGACATTGAAAGGTGGAAGAAAGTTTTATTCTCTGACGAGAAAAAATTAACCTGGATGCCGGTCCTGATGGCTTCCAATGTTACTGGCATGACAAGGAGATCCCACTGGAGATGTTTTCTACGTGGCACAGTGGAGGAGGCTCCATCATGATCTGAGGTGCTTTTTACTTCAATGGGATAATGGAGCTTCAGGTTGTGCAGGGGCATCAAACGGCGGCTGCCTATGTGGACATGTTGCAGCGGGCATCCCTCTTGACTGAGGGCCCTTGTCTGTGCGGTAATGAGTCATGACTGGGTTTTTCAACAGGACAACGCAGTTCACAATGCCCGCCTGACTTCTTCCAGGATTATAACGTCGCTCTTTTGGACCATCCTGCGTGTTCCCCTGATCTTTTTTGGGTCTACCACTTGACTTTTTTTGTCCCATAACTCTCAGGATCTTTTAAGAAATTTAGAATGACTGTCTTACTGCATCCAACCTCAAAGGGCACAGAAAGCCCTTTTTGCCTTTGCCATCAGGAGATCATGACAGTGTGACTGCCTGAAGGACAATGACATGAATGCCATATTTTTGCACAGATTTGAACTTTTTACGGCTATGGTCTTTTACTTTTGATCAGCTGATGAACAACCTGTTGGAGTTTAAATGCAGTTTTCAATAAATTGCCTATTCTCTACTTTTTGTCTCTTGCTCCTGTTTCTTCTTTTGGCATTTTGAAGCAGTACTTACAACCTGGTTACGATCCACCAGTGCAAAATGCAAATACTTGTAATGTTCCCCCCGGTCTTAAGATTTTGTTCAGGAGTGTATATTGTTATTGATGGTAACGTTCGTTAGATATAACCTACATGAAACGCGTGTTTTCGAATCATAATGATGAATTGGTTAAGAAACATGTTATAAAAACCTTTAAATCTTTTTGCTCAGTCTTTTTGTTTATAATTGTTGATTCTTTATAATAAGTGGGGAAAGCACATTTGACTAGAATATTTGCAGTTCATAGAGCAAAAGTTACAATAGGGCTCGAACACGGTAATGTAGGCTACATTGTTCTCTTTAGATAGGATCATGGCTGTGGTCTAAAATGGTTCAGGATATTGAGTGTACTTATTGTACCATTAGGTGGCAGTCTTAGCTCAACGTACTTGCATTAAGTCTGTGGTGAAGTCACTTCCATTGTCAAACATGAATTCAAACAAAAAAAACACAGCTGAATACAAAAACCCAAACATCAAAAATATATCAACATGACACTTTATTTTTTCTTCAATAAATAATTTACAGTATTTACAGGTGGTGTGTGGCACCGCTTTAGTCCTACATACAAAAACAGACTAAGCTGTCTGGTCTGAATCTCCCATTCAATGTTAATACATTTGAAAATGTTATCATTCACTTTTATTTTTTTAGCATTGCAAGTTTGATAACCTCTTTCACTATCAAGTTAAAACCAAGTAAGAGCTAGGTTAAAGAGAATAAAAACATAAAGTGCTTTTGTAATAAACAACACATTAACACCGCAAGTCACACGTTTCCTACTTAATATTTAGTTAAAGGACATGATGTCTGTTTTACTCTGGTTCCAAATTAGATTGTTAAGTCCCTTATCTTATGTTTTTGTGGTGCTTGTGTACATAATATCCCTGTACTTAAAGGTAAATTTGACCACACCCTCTGATGTACCAAAAAATCAGCACAAAATATTATTTGCCAAATCACACAAACTTATATACGTCACATTACACATATAAATCCAAAAAGCACTGACAACACAAGCATACTTAAACACAAAAGTCATTACAATCATTTTGTATGCTTTCAAAAGTCTCTTTAAAGCCATGAACTGCACCGACAACACAAGCTTTCTTAGCAGTAGTAAGGCTCGCAAAACTTTACAGTGTAAGAATAAATTACTGTGAAGTCTCTCAGAGGATTCTTTGTATCATTAATATCTAAACCATATTTTCATAGCTTAAACTTTTTACTAAGAGAAAACAAACACTGATAAGAGACAGCTGTGATAGATGTTCTTAGAAGAAATGGGACATGATGAATATGAAGTTATGTGGGCTTCATCTTCCATAAAGACCTTTCCAACAGTCTCTAGACATGGCCTATAGAACTATTAAGCCTGTGTTATACTTTCCGCATGAGCAATCCAGACGTGTACACAGACAGCACGGACGCGGACTACTTGTACTTATACTACCGAAAGCATACGCTGATGGTCCGCTCCGCAACAAACATGTGAACAAACAATTGCCCAGAATTATTGCACCTCTGGCTGTCTTTATATTGTTTTATCGACGGATTGTACAGGTTCGAGTAGCAACAGGCTTCTTCACACAGCCTGCACATGTGCAGTTGGTGCTTTTGCAGCCTACTGACCGCGCGTACTTGTCTGCGCGGTCACAAAAAATGGGAGGCACGCAGAAGTCCGCGCACACTTGCCGATGACGATTTTTACGTCACGCATACCATAGCGGACCCTAGCGGACTCGCGCACGCGGAAAGTATAACACAGGCTTTAGGCTACCAAGAGTGCAGTTTCACTCTTCAAAATAGTGGTGCTATGTATCGTTTGACTTTAGCTCGCCAATATTACTACTGCTATTTACAATACTGAGTGCCAGTAATCCTGAGCCTGCTAGTGGCTGAAGAGCAAATGCCCCCATTTCAAATGTCACAAGAAATGCATGGCAGATGTTCTCAATAGCTCCTGCACTGGTCCATCCACCACACTGTAGTTAGCAGCACCTTCCAATATTATACAAAATCAGGACATCTGGTTTGAGCCCAAATACTTAAGTGAACCACAAAAGGTCCCATGAGAAAGAGACAGAGAGAAAATTCAGCTGTTTGGGAAATTGTTGGCACCATGGCTTGTTCTTTGGCAAAATGCCTCTGCCATAAATTCACAGATCTACAGAGTCGAGAGTTAAACGGGGCCTACAGCACAGCCACGTCGACACCCTTTTGAAATGGAGAGCAAGGCGTTGCTCTTTAAGAAGCAGTAAGGATGATTGATGGACCTGCCTTGTGGGTCCCATCTCAAACTGCAAACATTGTATGGAGGAACTTGGCTCTCTCCTGGATATATACGTTGATGGTTATGCTACCTACTGCAAACTGACATGAATATTTTTCCACGAACGTGTTTATCTGAAGCAAGTGTGCTCAGAGACAACTCTGTCTTGGGCTATACCAATGTATGATGTGGATTTTTTACTCAATGGCTTTTACTTTGTGAACAAAGTAAAGAAACTTATTCTCTATAATTGTTCAGGCTGATTTTGAACACCCAATTTAACAATGGAGGGAATTCAATAAATATTTTCCGAAATTATAACACCTAAGCAGAATGGGTGTAGTTTAAAGTCTGTTTGACACAATGGTTGACACCCTTTTTATATGAAATGTAGGAAAGAGCTCTTGGCAGGCAGTAAAACTTCTTACTGACCCATGAACCACCACACCAGAGCTACATTAGGACCCTGGGTGCAATATACAGCTATTATGAAACACTTCACACACACACACACACACACACACACACACACACACACAAAATAACACATCTTTCTTTTGCACACACACATAAGACAAACTATACAAAAGGCCTGATGTTATGGCCTGTTAATCTCCTCTGTAGACAACATGATTTACTAGTCTGACATGGCCTTGGCCAGGAGGTTTTCTCTAGAAAGCTAACATTTTTCCGAAGCTGGAGCTTCTTCAAAGAGAGAACTCCTGCCGGCCCTCCATTAATAAAAGCTCCTGTCATGTCCTCCAGCCTGGCTCCGGGAGACAACATCTCCAAGCTCTTCTTTCTGCAAAGGATCATCCCCCTCTCACTCCTGTCAGTGGCACATCACCCTGGTGGGAACAAGGGTGGTTTAATCTGACTCGGGTCTCAGGACCTCTCAGCGCTGCGTTCTCTGTCATGAAGCACTTATGAGATCAGCAGGATGACCACAGAGATGGGTGGATCTCCAGGAACGCTTCTGCTCAGGCCTGATGAATGAACATATGTGATGATGATGAGAGATGAGTCCATGGTGTGACACAAGACACACAAGTGTGAAAGCCCTCAGCAGAAGCTCAGGCTCTAGCTGAGAAGCCCAGCCTCTGGTAGATGGAACACAACACAGTGAGAGCAGCATTTCACATGCATACAGCATCTTACAACCATCTAACAAGGATGTCCAATGGGGACTACAGACGAATGGAAAACGAGTCAGTCCACAACAGTATGATAACAAGGCTGATGAGGATTAGGACACTAAAACCCCTTTTTTCTGAGGCAGAGTTGAATATTGTATCCTTTTCAAAGAGGTGATACTTGTCTTTGTTGGAGTGGAGCATTTTAACATCCTCAAAGGCGTAGTAGGCCGCCAGGGTGAAGTTGATGTCCCCAGAAGATAGCAGGTCAAAAACACAGGATTGGAAATACAAATCCTCAACTGGTAGACGTTCTTTGCACTTGGCCATGGCTGACTGGTATGTGAAGCCATTAATAGGAGCACCTGGCCGTCCCCTGCCTAAGACTTGGCTCTCTGCCGCCCGTGCTCTGAAGGTCCTGAAGTCTATTCGCTGGTTTGCAGGGCAACCATGCAGGCAGAGGTAAAGATCCTGGTTGTCCTGGTCCTCCACCGAATTCACAACCTCCTCTGGCATCCGCACCGCAAAGGTGAGGTAGCGGCCAACCTGCCGAACTACAATAGTGGTGCCGATATAGCGTGCCTGGATCTCCACGTGTTGTCCAGGCACCTTCTCTACTATGCGTAAGGTGTTGGCCCCATGGCGGTCGCCTCCATTCTTTGAACCATCAGCAAATGCAGCAGGAAGCTCGTCAGTCTCCGCATGGTACATCTTCTGGTCTACACATTCTTGAAAGTTCTTGAAGATGATTGTTAGCTGTGGTAAAAGTGAGAGTGAGAACAAGTGAGAACAGTATTCAAGATCAATTATGGTTTTGGACATAAATACTTTAAAACAAAACAGTTCGAGGGGGAAAAAGATGGCTAGAAAACATTTAAAGTGCACAAAGTTTTGATGTTGAAAATGCTATATTTGTTCGATCAAAACCAGCCAAGAAACAGCAACCACAGACATAAAGTGTTTTATGCACCACTGCATATGGCAAAAGATGGTGGCTAAGTACTCCATTCTGCATAACCGAGCCTTGCCTTTATAAAACCAGAGGACTGTGTAGTGCAGACCCTCCAAGCCCAGAAGCTTTCGTAATGTCACATTTCAGCAGCGGCTCAAGATACAGGGGGCCAATGTAAACGCACTCTGGAGAAACACAGGTCCAGTCTATGTTACAGCAGGCCTCAGTGTGCAGACACAAAGACAATCCATTCATGCTGCTCAGAGCCTGCCTGTGAACCCCGGATTCAGCTCCAGGGAGTGGACTCGCGCCAGCTAGAGAGCACAGCCTGCACAGGGGCTAATTAGAGAAGGCTGCTCCTACTTCTGACTCCTCCAGCAAGCTGCCATTAGGAGGCCAATGGACTGCTGACACATATGTGACCTCGGGATGTCCAGGCTGCTCTGATCTTGCAAATGATGCATATGAGTGTGTGCATGTGTGTCTATGTCTGGAGACTCAGTTAAACCAAACCATCCTATAATCACTAATGGTGCAGTGATCTACCTCCTGTTAGCGCCACCCTAGTTTTTCTCAGGACAGCGAGAGCTTGTTTAAAGCAAAGGGTCTATCAATAAACAAGGGATGTCTTGTTTGCACAGGTGCTGCATCTGCCTGCAGACCTGTCTGCGCATTTGTCCAAGCTAAATGATCTCTGAACCACTGTCATTTATTCAAAAAACAGTCAGCTTAACAAAAATATCACGATCCCTTTCCCTCCTACAAGAAAGAACTGTGGGTCCATCTACTTAATGGGGAATCATTAGAGGTTTTTGATGGCGGAAAATTGCTCTGTTTCCTAATGTGACTGAGTACAAAGTTCTTGTGTTTTTCTGCCACAAGGAAAAACTCTGAAAAACATTCAACCCTGGTCACACAATTACAGCAGCCAAAAGGACATCAGGCATAGTGAAATTAGCTTTCGGCAATCGGACACACAAACTTGAAGTCCTGTGTTTTCACCTTAGGCTCCACAGCTGGCCAATTCTAAGGCAGCTCCCCAGTTTGACCAATGGGCCATAAAGCAAAACAATGATAATTTATGAGGTATGAGGGCCAACTAATGCAGAGAAAATATCAGCAGTTTCCTGTATGGACTGAGCACTTAGTTAAAACAACAAGACTCCTAAATCACACAAACAATGGCAAGGGCTGCCACAGATATAGTAGCATTAGTTCTGACTGTCGGAAAAAAAATGAAGGCATGTGAGCCTGCTAACATTCTAATTTATTACCTCTCTTTTGTTGCTGGAATTTCTTTAAAAAAACTGACTTTCACCAATTGTCTTATCTCGTCTTCATCTGTCTTGGAACAGATCCAAATGCTAACTACTGTCTGCACTTACAAAGTCTGCTTTCTCTTCCCACTGGTAAAACCACACTTTCGCCTTTAACTAGTTCCATGCTGAAACCGTTCCTTAAAGGTTGGTGAAATGAGACCGAGACTGATGCTGAAATGACTTTTACTTGTTTTTTATGTGAGGTACAAAATATCCTTACCTTGCTAGTAGCCGTAGCGGAAGATCCAGGCACAACAGGAGTGTTCGTAACCTGCACAGACAGGTACTTATTGTGAATCAGTGGCCAGGCTCCCTCAACTTTACAGGTCTGAAAGTCATCGTTGAATGTGCGGAGATGTGGGTCCCCAAAAAAGCCGCAGTGAGTGTAATTGGGAGGCGCAGCATTACGTGGTAGACTCCGCTCGTAATGGCACACCTCTGGCCTGTCGGAGGGAACGTTGACGTCCGGTGGTGGCTGGACCGGGGGCGGTGGTGTGCGGGCACGAGGCTGTGTAGTGGGCCCTTCTTTGGAGCAGTTGTGTTGGCTCATAAGATCCTCTATACCATGTTGGGCTGAATGGTAGGCCAGGTCACCCCGGCACGTACGGGCAGTGCGACGGACACAGTTGTTATACGCTCGCAGCGCAGTGCAGAACTCCTCTTCTGGGCCAGAGCTGGAGGTGGAGGCCCAGAACTCGGAGTTACACTTGAGGATCTTACACTGCAGAGTTGCTGTAAAGTCAAAAGAGAGATAGCATAAACACACTGTCATGGTCAAACCAAGTTTACAGAAAGCTGAAATGAAATAAGCATCAACCAGAGTAGCTGATAAAACTGATTAAGCTTTTAAATTGAAAAGTAACAGTTAAAATAAAAACAAAGGATTTTGAGAAAAATAACAACATCCTTTACATTTTTATTCAAGAATAGGCCATTTTCATTTCTTACAGTTAATTTTACACCCTCTTTGCACTTTTTATACACATTTCAGTTAGGAATACTTTTTATTCTGATTATGTCAGTACTGAACTTCAAATGAAGTTCAGTTTATTGTTATGTTCATGAATGCCAGTTGCTCAAGGCTCTCATAACAACACATGAATTCTCTCTACATCTGGACAAAGTGAGGCTTTAATTCCATCACTAATAAAAAAACAACATTTCAACCAAGTTCCAAGTTTCTGTGTTTTGCCAACTTCCATCAAGTCTAAGTGCTCTAAATGTAGTATAAAGCAAGGCTATTGTCGTCTTGTTGCCTTTTCAAAAATAAATTAAACAAAAAAACATTAAAGTAGGCCAATCATCGCTTGTTGATTTTATGTGAATTTCAAAATGTTAATGGAATATTCTGATTATGTCTGTCACAGGGGAGAAAAGCTCAACACTTAAGAGCTATTGTAATACAAAACGTAAAGCAATAAGCATCTAAATAGGCCTCATTACAAAGTAATGAACTCTCGACAGGCTTATCTAACTTCATTACCTCACCATGAATGACATCACTTTATATTAGTAAATGGGCTGTATGCTTTATCGAACAATGCTTGACTGATTCCAAGATCCCAGTTGGATATCTAGCAATTTCACACTGTTTAAGGTGCAACACAAATTAATAGCAATTAAAGACAAATGGGAAGGAAGCCTTCAAACTGACAATCACACTAGCAAAAGTCTATTATTTAGAAGTGCTAATCATCTCATATCAAATTCACACTCATTCACACCTTGTGCTTTCTCTTTGCATTGCTAAGCAGATCGTGGGGGTGCTTTTGAGTAAAGCACCATGGGTGTCAGTGACCGAGGGCAAATGCACATCTGAAAAAAATCACTTAGGGCTTTAACAGAAGGGGGTAGCTGTTTGTGTGTGTGTGCGTATGTGTGTGTGTCTGTGGGAGGGTGTAGTCCTAGGACTCTGAATGAAGACAATGCAATTTGCCATTGAGAAGAAACCAGCAGAGTCATAAATTAGCCCTGTGTAAAGGGATTAGGTAGAGTTTCATCAGCCATGCAGGGCAGGAGGGAAGGGGGGCTAAGGACTGCCTTAAAGAAACAGGATCTCTGGAGAGAAACTGGCTCCAGGACCAATGGGCGGAACACATAGTAGGTCTCACCATTCCACAGGTCAAACTGGATATGAGACAGCCACCTGTCCAGAGCAAAAGGCCGTAATCAAAGGCAAAAGCAATTTCAAACACATTCCCCTTTCTCCGATTACAAGGTCTGAATCATCATTTTTGTTTGATAAAATGCAAGGACATGCCAAAACTACACACTAAACTTTGTTTCCAAATGATCACGCAACAATCTTTGTTGTATATCCACCTACCAGCTACAAAGGGCATTTATCATCCATTGATAAGAGACAATAGGCTCATTTAAGATGTCAACAACTAGTGCTTGCATGATTGCCTTTTGTTTGGCATTAAATAACTTGAAAGATGCGACACAGGGTGTGAAATCAAACTGCACACTACTTACAACTGACCAGAGCCTTGACAGAACAAAACAACACTTGTAAATTCCATAATAGTGAGACACAGGAATTAGGAATTGCACTCTTTTTTTTTTACACACATTAGACACTTCTTTTTGCAATAAATACTACTTTTCAAAAAAAATGCCAGGACTTTAACAGTAATTTTTCCACAATAGGTCATTTATCATTTAATACCATATTGGTATAAACACTCGGCATATAAAAATATCAATAATGGTGACAATCAATTTTCAAATTTACATTAAAAAAACTTGAACACTACAAAACAAGTAACGTAAAGCAACGGCAACAGCAAAATTCATTCATGCCACAGTGTATGCTGGGAACATAAGTGTTAAATTCATTCTGTGGACATCAAAATATTAGGCTACAGTTAATCTATAAACACAAAACTAATAGTGTAGTGCAGACAGGGATAATGTCTGTGATCCTACAACACTACACTTTAACGTTTCCTACTACTGTTCACTGTAAAGTCAAGGCATAGCCTACTGTATTTACAGTACTGTAAATTCAGATATTTTTATGTGAATTTAACCATACACATATCTATTTAAAATATCTATACAGACAACTTTTGCCATTTTTAGATTTTAAGTAATATTTAAAGTTCCATTTAAGAACCTTTTTTTACTTTTGAAGACGGTCTTCACGCGTTTTTAAAGGCTTTACTGTGTTTGTGAAATGTTTTTTTTTTTTTTTTTTGAAATTTTTCTCCCACAAGCCCAGCGAAGGCATTTTTATAGATGTGGAGGGTTCGCTTCCCCTCCCCCAAACACAAGAGCATGTCTTAGCCAGAGCTGTGGGAAACACTGCGGTAGTGCAGCAGAATTCAACCGAACCTTTTGCTCCCACAAGCCCAGCGAAGGCATTTTTATAGATGTGGAGGGTTCGCTTCCCCTCCCCCAAACACAAGAGCATGTCTTAGCCAGAGCTGTGGGAAACACTGCGGTAGTGCAGCAGAATTCAACCGAACCTTCGGATCTCCACGCTTTTATCGCACGGTTTTAGCAATGGCTCTAAAACAACTAAACCCATCACTCTAGCTATGTAAACATACTTGTTTTTTTTTTCGCATCTTTTTTTAATGCGAAAAAGTTTAGATGGAAATGTAACACCTTTAACTTAAATGTATTATGTGTAGCGTAAACTTGAGAGTTATAAACAACAACATTATTCAAGCGTGCATAATGAAGGAATGCGCACTGGCATGTTTTAGAAGATAAATAGCCTAACTTTTACCAGACATAACTGCGTCCACTGGGTCATGACTAAACAAAATACACCCAACTGCGTTTAATATGCTGCTAAGTAACAAAGCATGCGTTATTTCAACATATTTAACTGCTGTGAGAGTTTGCTGTTTTGTAGCGATTAGGTTACATCATTGCTTCGACAAATAAATTCCAAATAAACATCCTTATTTCCAGTCCTAAAACTCGAATTAGATTCTCCATGATAAATGTTTTTCTTACCTGCTGGAAACAGACAGAGAAACACAACAACGAACTGGCAGACTTGTAGCGCCGATGGTGCTGCTCCTTTCCCCATAACCATCCATCCAGCACGGGACAGCGCTCCTCTCCTCTCCCTATTTACACCAGCAATGTGAGGAAAGGCGAATTAGAGCAATGCTGCGACTTTCCGTACTGATTCAAAGTTGCTGGACAACCGCAACAAAACGAAATCATGCCGCCCGCCCTTCCGTCGTACAAATATCGCTGCTTTTTGTCAGGTATTCTCAGTGTTCACACATTCCCAACCCTCACTAGAAACGTGCCATCGATCTTCCAGTTCGCTAGTGTCAAGAGGGTGCAGCCTACACTGCGAAGTGCACCAATAAGAAGTCACTGTTTCGCCACCAACCCCTCACTAGTTTCAAATTACGCCTGAGCTTTGAAAAGTACTTCACCCATTTGCAATGTAGGCTGCGAACTCATGAAAGTGAACACATTGTTGCCTAAATTAATAAAGTGTAATACTTTCCTGTGCAGTTGTATGCATTTTCAGTTCGGAGAGAATCAAAGGGAGACTGAAAATGTATTTAAATCCAGTTCTAAAATGACTATGGTAATTAAATAGCATTTAATTGTCTTATACACAAATTCACCAATTAGCCTGACCATTTAATCCCATTTGTGCACAAAGAGTTGATGTATTGCACACAAAGTTGTTCACTACAAATGAAAGTAGGCTACAGACTGGCTTGTTTTGATTTTTGCATGGCTAGTGTAAATAGGCACATGTCCAGATTTAGTATACATAATAATTAAGCGTCCATTATTAATGTATCCAAGAAAGATTGCTCTGTCTGTCTCATAAAAATCATAATCACAATAAATGTTAGTGATCACAGTACGGTTGAAAAAAAAAACAGCCCCATTTTGAAGAAATAGTTGACTGTCATATTTTAAAGGCTAATTTAAAATTTGCAAATACATATGAATTCATTCTTTTAGGCCTATATTAACAATACAATTTTACTATATTGTTACTACTTGTAATCTGAAATAAAACATACTTTCAATAAACTTTTTTATTTTTTATACATGATGAAAATGTTACAGTTTGTTTCATTAGACGGTCCAAGTAGTTAAATATACATGCTTACATAGCTAGTAAATGGGTTATAGCAGGTCCAATTCTGGTCCTGAAGGGCCAAAGTCCTGCAGAGTTTAGCTCTAACTTGTCCCAGTCTACATGCCTAGAAGATTCTAGTAATTCTGAAGACCTTGATTTCTTTGGTTCGAGTGTTTAATTGGGGATGGAGCTAAACTCTGCAGGACACTAGCCCCCCATCAGGAGCAGACTGAATGGACACCCCTGTGTTACATAGCCTACTCATTTAAATGCCAAAGAGAGAATCAGTTTCTGATTAAAACTGAATTTGGAATTTATGCTTTATTTATACAGTAGGAAGAAATCATAAAGGACGGATGCCTCTGTCCAAACCTTCAAATTAGAAACGGAAGAGAATCCCATACCACCCCCAATTAATTGGAACGGTATAATGTATGATCACCTGTTACATAGTGTTCTGTCTCTGTCAGCGTAAATGCATGCACCTAAGCATCAGCATACATAATCAATGCCTAGGGTTTTTAAAACATAGCCAATATGTGATGTGACACCAGTTGAGAGATCTAACAAGCTTATGTCAATGCATTTGCTTCATTAAATCCCCCTGACAGATTACCTTAACAAGATGCACTGCTATAAAATGTTAAATATTTATATAGTGCATAATCATACTAGGACTACTTTTTTGTTTGTGTGAACATATGAGATGAAGGATGAATAAGACTCGCCCATCTATAAAGTAAAAAAGCTATTAATTAAAGTAATAAACAATCTGATCATAAATGTCTTGTTGAGATTTTCACAGCTCAAGGTAACCGAAAGGTCCTAAAGAAGAGGAGGGAATGTGGATTTGTTATAGGGCAGGCTATATGGTTTTGTTTTTAGTGGTCAGCTGTTGCAGTCCAACAGATGGCGCTTGCACAGTGGTGGAGAATGAATGATATCTCCAGAGATGCGTCCTCGTGTATAAGGTTTTGTAAGAACCACTATATTATTTACAGTTCAACTGTGATGTCTTCCTTTTCTTTTGAGATTACAGAAAATTAATTGGAGGTACATAAAACCAAAACATAACATTATGATACCTTATCTTTAATGAGAAGATATAGATGGTGTAGTGAACCCAACACAGATGTTCTCTAACCATTTGTGAGTTTAATTGATCATTAACAGCGTGTCTATGATTTCTAGTGCGACAGAGGCTAAAATATAAAAATTTAGAGATAGAGCAAAATAACACTCATTGGTGACAGCAGCTGTGCATAACATCTAAAAATCCCGTTCTCCCTTTCTTCTATCCTAATTGATTCAAAAATGTAAATTATTCTTGATATTAAACACAATCCTTATATTTAGATCAGCATTGAAGACAAAGAACTGGACTAGCTACAACGTGATGCAGACTTTTAAGTCAAAAACTAAGAGACAATGCAATATAATGTTCTCTGTACCATTTAAGAGAAGATAGTCACTGTTTAAGTAGCTAACCACTGCATACTGTTTAGAAAGAGTCAAAGTTATTTTGTCAAGAAATCAATCAGAACCCACCTTTTTGAATGCATGGAGCTCTTCAACACTTTGGGTTGAGTTTCTTTGCAGAACCGGGATGAAGCTTGCGGGTCGAATCCGGACTGAAGCGCGTACAGGCGTGTTTTGTACCAGTAATCCGAAATTCTTATTTAGCTAAGTCTATACATCGTTGTAAAACTAAAGGTTAAGCACTTCTGTCGTCCCTGCATGACGTCCCTTGTTTATTAGCTATTTATTATTTTAAAGGCAAGATAGGTTTTTATCTAAACGCTGCTAATCTACTTGCGGTGTCTGATGTTATTTTCATCGGTGTCCTGATCTGGAAATGAAGGTACGATCCGTCAACCAGTTTATCGAGACACAAACGATAAAAAAGAAAACCTCGGAAATGTTTTCGAATCAATAGTGTTCTTCATTTTGCCGTGGTATTCCCAAGATTCCTCTGTGGCTCCCAGGACTTGAGTAGGAAGAGCCCTCGGGGCAGCAGTGTTGATAGCGCTGGCTCGTTTCCTCGCCTCAATGTTGTGAAATGACGAGTTAGAAAGTGTGAGGCACAATGATCAGCGCTGCAGTCTCGAACTCCCCACACTCACAGTCAATACAGGCTTATGTCTGTTAAACCAAGCTTCAAGATTAATGTTAGATTATAATGTAACTGGATTAGAAAACACAGTTTGTTTAAACGTTTTCTGTCTGTAATTTAGTGTTGTGTGTGTGTGTGTGTGTGTGTGTGTGTGTCAACATCTAGATATAATTACCATACCTATCTGCTACAACTTGAAGTAGCCTAGTTAACCAATTCACTACTTATCCATAAACTGTGTAAATTAGCTTAATGGTGTGCTCTTGTTACAATCCATCCAACTACTGGATGGTCTTTAACACTAGCCTAATACAAAACATGGACATTTAAATTTTTGTGTTTTAATTTAATGTGGTCATCAAATTACTTGTGCAAAATCACATGTAATAACTGATATTGTGAGTGTGATATTGCTATTATACAACAGTATATTATACAACTGCTGTTCACACAGTATTACTTAGGCTATACAATTATATCCAAATACAATATATTTCAGATAAAAAAAAAATACTAGTAGGTTCTTATTTGATCAACTACAGCAAACAATAATAGTCTGAAAATTGCAGAAGCATCAGGCTTTGAGTAGTAGCCTACCAAGCAACACACAAACTGAAAGCTGGTCTGGAACAGAGTATTCCTCTCACAGCATTCAGTGCTCATTCGACTCCAAGCTTTTTTGCTTATAACTTTCCACACAGAGGAGTGAAAGCGATAACACTGACACTTGGGCTGTGTCCAAAATCGCATACTCTCTGAGTAGGTATTTCTTTTAAATAAGTACTTGTCCATGAGTAGCATAAATGTAATCTGGACTGTATTCATCATGTTGTCATGTGACCTATCAGTGTCAGTTGTGTCGCCTCACTGCCATTCACAAATCCTCTCCCATGGCCTCATGGTTGAGGAGAGATCGAAGGAGACGTATGCATGTATCTTTAATGAAGTAGCATGGAGAGCCGGCATTCTGGGATGCTTACGAGCCGTGGCGCAGCTGGTATAAACACAAGCATTGACTAGAGTGGCCATGTCGGAGCCGTAATGCGCTGCATACCTGTGCAGTGTAAATAAGGGGTTATCCATCCAAGCATTCATTAATGGCAAGGAAAGCCCCTTAAGGTTGTTTCACACTGAGCGTGATGCGAAAAAGCGTGGCAAATCACCGACGAACGTTGCTTTCACACCGAGCGTGAAACGATTAATCGCCTTCTGCTAATTCACGCCTGCACGCAAGGTGGCGCCGACCTGCAATGCATTTTTCCTCATGTAGCCTATGTGTCTCGTATATGGCTTTTACATCGTCCACTGCTAAATATACAGCATTAAATTAAGATAAATAACTTTTGGTTCTTTATCAGAAACACAAACTATCCATAATGCTTACAAGAAAATATAATTAGAGGTACAATTAGCATCAATCTACATTTCAAAATGTAATTAATGTTTTTGCTCAAACTCCACTTTAAACCATCACCGAGTGCTTGTAATAACTTCTGATTGTGATCTAAAATGGATTTTGATTCTATAATAGGCAGACATGCACTCTTTGTATGTTATAATGGACTGAATGCTACCTGCTTGTCATTTGTAAACATCATTTGTCATAAACATCCTTTATTGTTATAAAAAATACCATGAGCTGCATAAAAAAATATACAGAAAATACTGTATCACTTCATTTGATGGTTCTGGAGTGCGTTTGTGGTGGGTATTTTTCCACGCTTTTCATTCATATGGATAAAAAAACCCAGCACTTGTTCGGAAATGTGGAGGCTGATTCTGCATTTTTGGGAACCTTTTCATTAAGAAAAAATAGACAAAGCAACTGGCAATATTTTGTGTAACTCAATATAAACAAATCAATATTTATCTGAATTTCAGATTACCTGTGGCCCCTTTGCCTATTCTGATATTTGGAACAACAACACGCTTGTGAGCGAGATCCATTGCACAATTTACACAACTGTTTGAGAGGCTGTTCATATGGAATGTATTTTTGCATGTGAAAATGTGGGATGCAGGGCAGGAAAATTGGGGGAAAAAAAAAACAGTGCCTCTCTGTCACAGTACAGAAGGAGACCAAAACGGAGATGTACAGGTAAGCAGGGGTCTTTATTGAACAGAGGTGCTGAGGGGAGAGATGGAGAGCAAACGGGTTAAATAGAAAGAGTTCCAGGAACTGAAGGGATCTAGCTCACGTAGTGACTGCTTCTTGGGTCTTTCTCGGATCTGACGGAAGATGACTTCGATGGAGACAGGTGGGTGACAGGTTGGAGTCCAGGTTCGTGAGTCAGGTAAGGAGTAGCGTAGTGAACTCAAGACCAGACAAAGTGCAACTGCAGTGACTGAGTATTTGAGCTAGTGTTGATGAGGTGGTGACAGGTGCGGCTGATTAGTAATCCGGTGATTGTGAACGGGTGTGTGAGGTGATTGGGCCTGACCAATGATCAACCGCTGGAACGTCAGATGGTTCTCCCGTCCAAGGGAACAGTGGAGGTTGGTAGCCGAGTACGCACTGAAAAGGGGTGAGGCCGGTGGTTTGCTGCCTGAGGGAGTTTTGTGCGTACTCGGCCCAGGGAAGGTAAAGGCTCCAGCGGTTCTGGTTATTGTGACAATAGCTATGAAGATATCTCCCGATCTCTTGAATCTTTCGCTCAGTCTGGCCATTTGATTGTGAATGATATCCGGAGGTGAGGCTTACTGATACTCCGAGTAGTTGGAAGAAGGCCCGCCAGACCTGGGAGATGAATTGGGGCCCACGATCGGAGATGATGTCCTCAGGGATGCCGAAATTGTGAAAGACTTGATTGAATAACTGCGTTGCTGTTTCCATGGCAGTAGGTAGTTTTCTGAGGGGGAGAAGTTTGCATCCCTTAGAGAATCGGTCGACAACTACGAGTATGCATGTGTAAGACTCGGACTCGGGGAGATCTTTGACGAAGTTGACTCCGATGTGGGACCAGGGCCGGTGAGGTATGGGAAGTGGTACCTCTCTTCGTCGACAGTCCACTGGATGGGACCCACAATGATGGCTGGAGGGAGAATTGTCTCAGAGGGTAGTAATCGTTCCGTGGGCTGATGGAGATGCGACAGAGCGTCTGCTCTGGTATTCTTGGTTCCGGGACAGTAGGTAACAGAGAACTGAAAACGGGTGAAGAACAGCGCCCACCATGCCTGACGAGGGTTTAAGCGCTTGGCCTCACAAAGATACTCCAAGTTCAGTGATGACTTGGAATGGATGAATAGCTCCCTCCAGCCAATGTCTCCACTCCTCCAGCGCAAGTTTGATGGCGAGTAGCTCGCGGTTCCCGATATCATAATTTTACTCCGCCGGGGAAAGCTTGCGGGAGAAGCATGCACTGTGGACGCATCAACTTCCATGACGAATGGTTTCTGAGGATCGGGACGGGTGAGGGTAGGAGCGGTACAGAAGGCTTCCTTCAGCCTTTCAAAACTCTCGAGGGCTTCGGGCGCCCAGGACAGAGACTTGGGCTTGTTTCGGAGCATAGAAGTTAGGGCGGCGGTGTTCTGACTGAAGTGGTGGATGAAACGACGGTAGAAATTTGAGAATCCCAGAAAGCGTTGGAGTCCTTGCTCCGGGATGGACAATGGATACACGCTACCCTTTGGGAGTTGAGCTCCAGGCAGAAAATCTATGGCACAGTTCCATGGCCGATGAGGTGATCATTTAGTAGCGGCCCGCTTGCTAAACGCATCCTGAAACGCCCGGTATTCAGAGGGAATGCTGTGATGTTCGGTGGGTTCGGGGCTCTCTATGGAGGTAGCACAGACAGGGAGGAGACAAGGTGACAGAGGATGAATTTTGGGTATAGGCATTCTTCAGCAGCCTTAGTTCAAGTCTTTGGAGGGTGCTGCGGGATATGAAGTTACCCAAAGAACCAGAGTCTACAAGGGCTTGCGCTGAAAGGGACTGGTGAGATGACATTACTAATACATTCATTCGAGTCAAGGTAGCAATTTGAGGGCTGAGCTGGATAGTACTCACCGTGGGTCGTGCGGGACGGATAGGACACGAGCGAATCAAGTGTCCATACTCCCCACAATACAGACATAGTCCGGATGTAATCCTCCGTGAACGCTCCGCATGGGTGAGATGGTACGAATCCACTTGCATGGGTTCGGGTGCTGGAGCCAGTGAGGCGGATGTGCCCGGTGAGGAATGTGGCTGGGCCTGGTTACAGGCCAGGAGATGTTGGGAGATCTTGATTGCCTTTTGGATGAAATTCTCCAAGCCCACGGTATCGTCAAAAATCACCATTTGGAGGCGAATGTCACCGTTAAGCCCTTGCCGGAACGCGGTCAGTGAGGCCACCTCATTCCATCCACTAGTCACCGCCAGAGTGCGGAATTTTATGGCATAATCGCTCACGGATGCCGTCCCTTGACTGATGCGGAAGAGCTGGTCATGAACGGAGATTTCGGCGGCTGCGTGACTAAACACCTCCTTGAAGTGGGATGTAAAAGTAGATAGAGTGCGAATGGCCTGACTGTTACTCTCCCACATGGACTGGGCCCAGTGAAGAGCGCGGCCGGCGAGATGAGAGATCATGAAGGCCACCTTGGCGCGGTCATTGGGAAAGGCTTGTGACTGCATCTCGAAGTATAGGGAACATTGTAAATCTTCCCACGACCCAACGGCTTTCCTTGAATGGTGAGGATATTCAGAACATGGGCATTCTTCAGTGGTCTTAGTTGAAGTCTTTGGAGGGTGCTGCAGGATAGGAAGTTACCCGAAGAACCAGAGTCTACAAGGGCTTCCGCTGAAAGGTATTGGTTAGATGACATTACTAATACATTCATTCGAGTCAAGATAGCAATTTGAGGGCTGAGCTGGATAGTACTCACCGTGGGTCGTGCGGGACGGATAGGACTCGAGCGAATCAAGTGTCCATGCTCCCCACAATATA